ATTGGGGACACATAGTATTCTTCAAAAGTTCCAATTATAATTATACCCCTGGCTAAGGTTAATGCTACAAAAATCTTTCAATTAAGTGAAATATCCAATCATTGTGCTCCCAGTTTAAAAAAACACTTTTAAGGACATGAAATACATCCAACTGATTTTTTGAAATAATATAAACGAACTTCCTAATCAAGAGTTTTTTAATACATGTTTTTGGACATAAATAAATACAGCAAATCCAAATGTCATTATCACTACTGTGAACTGAATACATGCATCATTTCAATAAATGTCACATTATTGCCATAAAAATATATGGCATAGTGAATAGATTGAAACAGAAATTATAACTATAAATTTTAATGAATATATACTAAATATTTTAGGATTTATGGAAATATAATGAACCAGTCATCAACATAACAAAGCTGGATGTAAGTACTTCATTAACTGTTTCAATAAATTACCTAATTTAATACTAAATATAAGGTACAAATAAATAATTTTATAAAACTCATACATTTACAAACAGGAAGACTGAAGCTCACAGAGGTTGTCTAACATGTTTAAGATTAGAATGTTTTAAAGTGATAGACCCATACACCATTTCCTTCATTCTGAAATATCTGACATGACACTGCCAATTTTTCCAAGCACAGCTGAGGACATATTGCCAATTAATCTGGCATGTCTATCTGTTGTAATGCACATTCCTAGAGATAAAAAATATTTGTCTCAAAGCCAATAAATATAGTATGTATAAAAACTTCGGCATATTGATTCATTCCCTACAATGACTACCGAAATACAATCAATGACTCTTACCTTTGGCAAACATAGGCAAGATATCCGGGCTCCCCCAGCTCCATGTATACTTGCTTTCATTAAAAACAGAATCAAATTCTACAGGATTTTCCTTCCACCCTTCAAGAAATGGAGAAAAAAGCAAGCAGTAACAATAGCAAAACATATATGGTGAAATAAACTCCAAAAGATCTATTTTTTTTTAAAAAAAAGATCTATTTTTCAAGTAGTATAATTAGTTGGTGTTATGATTTGTGTCTAGTTATCCTCCCAAAGCCTCATGCAGTCATTAGGGCAAGCTTCTAGAGTTTGTGATTAACTCATGATCCAATGCTGGGATTATGGGTGTGAGCACTATACCTGCCCTGGGGCAGATAATCTGCATAGAAATTAAGGAAGAAAAAGAGGCTTGCAGCTGCTGTTTGCTCTTTGCTGTTTTTTGCTCTTTGCTGCTCTTTGCTGTTTTTTGCGGCCATGAATGGCTGCTCTCTGCCATGTGTCACTCTGTCTTGGAAACAACAGATTATGAACTGAAACCTCCACTAACTGTGAGCTAAGTAAACCTTTCCTTCTTTATTTTGGGTATTGAGTATTTTGTCTCAGCAAAGAGAGAAGAGTAATTAAGACAGTTGGAGAACAAATATAAAACTAATAACAGACATTGGTATGCATAGTGCATCACTATTTTAAAAACTCACCAAGAGATGACTTATTACTTAGTAAAATATAAAATCACTTTTGCACTCTTGAAAGTAACATCTGGAAAAACACACAACCTTTCAACCATACTCTTTCAAAAGCACAGTCTGATAAAAGACTAAAGCTTAATTCCAGACTCAATAATGCTAAAATATTTGTCAAAAGAATTTCAAAACACATTTTTCAATTTATAATGTAATTAGTGGTAAAAAAAATATTTATATAAAGGTTTCATTGAATTAAACTGTCTTAAGTAGACAATACCTTTGGCAACTGCACTGACATCTTCATAAAACCCAGCTATCAGGGCTACATGCCCTGGCCGAGATTCTGTTGGCACATGTGTATGAGATATACCCCAGCTGCCTTCATGCATTATAATATTCCTAAGAGACAATAATTAATAGTTAACATAGATCCTCATGCTACTTTAGAAAAATAAGAATATTATAGGAAAAATCAAAATCAAAAAGAGTAGGGGAAAGGGATGTAATTCAGAGGGGAAAAACTTGGACAGCACTATAAAATCAAAACAAAAGAGCTAAAACTTAAAGAAGAAAGACAGTACAATAGCATAAATGAAATGGACAAAGAACTACTTAACCACTATACAGCATCATAAGGCAAAATACACCATTGATCCTTTAAGCACAACATACTGAAATGGTTTGTTACACAGATATAACTGCTATTAACATAGCAATATTGTATAATATAGAATATAGTTTACATATCAGTATTAAATTTTATTTGTTATGATGACAATATTGCAGTTATGTAAGAAAAAGTTCTGTTCTTAAGACATAAGTGCTAAAGTGCTTACAGGTAAAATGTCACAATACTTGCCTATAGATTGTTCCGGAACAATTAAAAATAGGCACTTGCCCATGAACACGTGTGTGTGTGTGTGTGTGTGTGTGTGTGTGTGGGCTTGAGGGTATGTATATGTTAACAGAAAATGCAAATATCAAAAAAGTTAAAAATTGTTAAAGTTAAGGTATACAGACATTCATCTTATAATCCTTTTAACTTTAGTATAGTTGAAAATAACCCTTAAAATAAAAAAGGGGAGAAAAATGACCACACTCTTAATTAAGGGTTAAATTACATTCCTAAATTTGAGATTAAAACAGGGAAAATTTTTCTTTTGCTAAAATTCTGATTATTTTAGCAAAGATTATCAAGATTATTAAAGTTATATCACAGTAATTTAAGAAATGAGAAAGAAAATAAAACCAGCAGTGATGCCATACCAAGTAGAATGCCAGCAAAGCAACAAGTTATATAACAGTAAATGCAAAAATAACATCTTTAAGATAAATGCTTGACTCTTACTATGTTATAAAGGAAAATATTTGTAATTACTTATTTAAGTTCTTTTACTATTGATTCACCTTATAAAACCAGCTTTGACAAAATATACATAATAAGTACTTTTAAAACCATTGGATCAAACATTAAATGAAAATTGTGTTAACTTTTTGAGTTTTATACTGAAAACTAGAATAAAACTTGAAGAAGAGGTGGCCAGATAGCTCAGCAGATTAAAGCGCCTCCTTAGGCTGAGCACAACACCAAGGTTCAATCCCTGGTGTGCTATGCTGCCCCGCCCCCAGACTGAAACTGGGCACTATGGTGCACGACTATAATCCCAGAGCTTGGGAGGCTGAAAACAGGAGAATCACTACGAGTTCAATCCACATAGTGAGACACTGTAGACTCCGTAGACCCTGTACTAAATACATTGGGAAAAACAGTACAAAGAAAAGATATAAATTTAAATATTTCTTTTTAAAATCATTAGGGCTTTTTTTTTTTTTTTCAGAAATGAAATCTTTCAAAAAGATTAAGAAGAAAGGCCAGGGAAATAGTTCATCAGCTTAAATGCCTGCCTGGCAAGTGCAAGGTCCTGAGTTCCATCCCCAGGAATGAAATGACCCCTCCCACAAAAAATAAAATAAAATAAAATAAAATAAAATAAAATAAAATAGTTAAGAAGAAAGAAGATTTCTGAAATTGTACACATAGAATGATTTGCAACCCCAGATACATAGAGACCACAGCCTGCAATGTTCCCTTCAATAAGACCCAAAAGATAAAAAAGTATTATCAGGAAAGCTTAACTTTTCCTCAATAACCAGCATATTTTTATCTCAAAAATTCTGGCCTGTTGTTCAGTGGTAGAGTGAGTTCTTAGCATTTGAAAAGCCCTGGGTTCAATTCTCAGCAAAAACAAAGAAAACCTATAACAAACTATATTTGTCTTTTCTTTGGTAATTACGAAATTCACCCAAATATATTATCCAAATATTTTAATTACTTGTAGCAATCTATGTTAAAAATTTTTGTGCACTATACTTAATCCTAGTTTGATCTTATTTTCCAACTAATGTTTCCTTATTAAGTTGCTCATTTATTATGTATTTATCCTCAAGCCACTATAAATTCAACACAGGGCTGGGGATATAGCTCAGAGTTGTAGCATCTGTCCGGCAAGAGTGAGGTTGTAAATTCTATTCCCAGTACCAAACAAGAAAAGAGTGGTAAATATAAATTCAACACAGTACTCAAGATCAATCATTCTTCTAGAAATCAACAAATACTTGTTAATCTGCTATTATGTCTTGTATTTAGATGTCCCCCAAAACCTCATGTGGTCATAGGTGGTGCTTTTTCCGAAGTGTCTGGATCTAGAGTGTGTGACTGATTCACCGTATCGTGTTAGCATTAAGTGTGTAAGCATTAAGGGTTGGTGGTTACTAAATCAGTCCACTGATTGATGTGGCATTGCCCTAGTCCCAGGTATTCTATCTAATGCCCTAGACAGGATATAAAAGGGGCAAAAAAAAGCTGCTCAGGTCATTTGCTTGCTTTGATACTTTCTGCCTACCATGAACAGTTTTTCCTCTGAGATGCCTGTCCACCATTTTACCTTGCCTTGGAACCAGGATAAAACCTCTACAAAACTGTGAGCTAAATAAAATATATCTTTCCTCCTTTATTTTTGGGTGTTGGATATTTTGTCTCAGTAACAGAAAAGTAAGGCACTGTCTCCACGCATTCTAGGAGCTAGAGATAAATGTCATTGTAAGTCTCAGTCTTCATGGAACTTGCACAATGATATTATAAAGAAAATAAAACAGGATAAAGGGATAGAAATTATGATGTAGAGAGAAAGATGAAGGTATAGTATTTTAGATAAATCTCCTCTTAAATTTGATTTCAATCTCTCAAAAATAGCATGAAGGGATTTTGAGGGGCTTGCCATTAATCAGAAAAAGAATAATTATAGAGAAGTCACAAGTCAAGAGAATTAAACATTTCTTTCCAAAGCCAGTTAGTAAAAGCTAAACATACTAAATAGTGATATAGATTATAATTTTAATATTTTATGGTTTTAATACTTTATATTTTCTAAACACTATTGTAAATAGTAACACATTAGTATTTATGCTTGTCATTATTTAAGAAAAAAACAAGCTTTTCTTTTTTTTTAAAGCAAGAGAGAATATTGGCGGAGGCTGGGAAGATGGTAAGTTAAATCCCTGACTGAGCAACTTGTGACCTTGTCTTAAAAGGAAAAATAAGAGGCCAGAGAGATAGCTAAGTAGAATAAGCAATTGCATGGCAAGTGCAAGGTTCAGAGTTCTATCCCCGGTGCCACAAAAAAAAAAAAAAAAAAAAAAAAAAAAACAGGAAAGGAAAAAAATAAAATAAAATGGCCTGAGGATATAGCTCAGCACTCCCTAACTTCAACCACCAGCCCAAAAAGAAAAATAGAAGAGAGAAGAACAGAGAAGAAAATATCAGGGGTTGTGAGCCAGGTTTCAGAAATTATGACAAGTTTGCCAAAGAAGCTAAGGCCACACATTTAACCAGCTTCTCCAATAGTAGAAATAACACCTACAAGGAAATTGGTATAATATATAACACAAAGAAAAATTTGTTAATATAAAACACAAAGAAAAATGTACAAGTACACTTTTCTATTTCTCATCACCTCCACTGTGCCCAATGGTAAACAGTACAATATTTTACTGTTTACTTGAATTTAGAAAAATTTTCTTGACATCTTGTTTCTAAGAGACATTTATATACTAGTGATGTGCTTACCTAATAAATGGTGCTCTTGAGTTTCCATTTTCATCTAATTCATAAAGTGTATCTGCTCTCAGGCCATCGGCAACAAAGAGCACTAATCTTCTTGCTGGAGGAGGTAATGATGTAAACCGAGGAGTCATTCCATGAACCAAAGGAGATGTAAAATAAATGTCAAAGATGGAGGCGAAGAACACAAAATGTACGAATAATCCCAAAGTAAAGAACAGCAGCATATCCAGCGTAACTAATTAATTTTCAAGAAAAACAAAGGGAACAAAATTAAACTGGGATAAATCTTAATGCAATCATATGTCATTTCATATATTTTAATGACTACATATAAATTTAACATATTTTTAAAATGTTATATAAATCACAACTTCACTCTCATTTATGGTGTTAACAAACATTGCTTAATAATTAAAGAGAAATAAAATACATACTAAAATAACCTAAGGAAGAAAAAGTTCAAATATAACAAGTAACTAGGACTAATAAGCTATTTAACATAATTTTTAAAAAATATATTTAGTACAGGGTCTGCAGGGTCTACAGAGTCTCACTATGTAAGTCAGACTCATAATGATCCTCCTGTTTTCATCCTCCCAAGTGCTGGGATTACAGGCGCGTGCCACTATGCCCAGAGTCAGTCACTCTTTCAGCATACTCCAGAGTGAGGCCAGCATTAGCTGAGGCAATAGCAAGTTAAGTGTCATCCATGCTTCAGAACTTTTGCACTCAATAAATAACATTTTATTTTAGTAAAATAAGTACACACTTATTCTGAGTAAATAAAAAACTAAAGTTTTTTATGAGTAACACTAACATCATTCAATAAAAATGCTCTATAATTATGCAGTGGGGTATTAGAGCAACCACCAAAAAGATACTCAAAGATCTAATGAACTTACAAATACTCAAGAAAGAAATCTAAGCAAAATAAAACAATACTGTAAGATAGTATGCTATTAAAGTCCCAAGATCAAACTTTGTCCATAGGAGAATTTTTGGGGTTTATATTTTTTAAAAAATCATTTATTCATTGATTGATTTGGTACACGGTCTCATTACACAGCTCAACTCATAGTGATCCTCCTGTCTCAGCCTCCCCATGGCTGGGATTACAGACACCCACTACCACACCTGGTTCAGTATCCCACACGGGGTGCCTAGGTTCTGGGGCATGCATACTATGTGGTACAGAGATCAAAACTGTGTTCTGCACTTGCTAGGTAGGTGCTTAGACTGTTGAGCTATCTCCCCAGCACAGGACAGTAATTACAGTCTGTAATTTGCTTTTGCTGTTAAATCTCTGTAGATTCAGAAGTTAAAAAAAAAGTTTCAAATTTCTCTTACTTGTAATAGCATTCGTTACAACAGTAATCACGGCTTGAAAACATCAAAAGTTTATTTGAATTAGACACATTCTCCTAGGCTTGAAGAATCATCACATCATGGAAAAATATCCTGTAAAAATAAAAGAAAGACTGGAAAAATATTCATTAAAGACAAATATAACAAACTAGGGATATAGGTCAGTGACACAGTGCCTGCCCGGCAAACATAACATGAGGTCCTAAGTTCGATTCCTGGTATCAAAAAAAAAAAAAAAAAGATAAATACACACAAGAAAGAAACAGAGAGAGAGAGAGAGAGAGAGAGAGAGACAGACAGACAGACAGACAGACAGACAGACACAGAGACAGAGACAATACAGTAAGTGTCAAATTAAGGCCACATTTTTCTGAGAGAACTAAGAATCCACTATTAGTTATCCTGCAAATCACCCATGAATCCACCACCTAGGACAAAAAAACCTGTCAATAGGTCTAGCAACTTTTACTCTATGTACATTTTTACAGGCACCATTTTATTAATATTTTTCTTTTAACATACATTAGCACATCTCAAAAAACAAACTTTTCACAGATCATTTATCCTTACTCCATTGTATGGGAGAATGTTATTTTCCTACTTACTCCTATAGGAATAAGCATAAAAATGTTTCTCTATTTTGCACTATTAAAAGTATCAATGTGATTAATATTTAGTTTTTAATGTGTTAACATATTAGATATTTCATATTCTGTGTTGGATATGCCACTTATGAGTGCAATTTCTGAGTCAAAAGCTATGAGCACCTTCACGGCTTTTGATATACTGAAT